ATGCCCCAAAAAAGTATCTATTCTCAAGGTCCTTAAATTCTATTGGGAAATGATAGTATGTAAATATATAAATATATACAATATAAAATAAGTAGGAAACAATTTCAAGGGCAAAGCACTAGCAGCTCAGAAGGAAAGGAAAGATCTCATGTAGATGGTAGTGTTTAAGCTGAGCTTTGAAGAAAACTTAAGATTGCAAGGATGGAAGAAAGGCAGAAGTATCTCCCACACAAGGGGACAGCCTGTACAAAGGTACAAAGATGGGAGAAAGAATGTTATGTGTGAGGAACAACAAAAAGGACAGGTTGGCTGATATCTATCTATATACATATGTATATAGTCTACCTATAACTATAAGACAGACTATGAGAAGAATTATAGGTAGGGTAAAAGTAAAATGCAAGTGATGCATAGAGAAAGTAAAGATTACTTTTGGCTGAAGGGACAGAAAAAGGATTTATGGAGGAAGCAATATTTGATTTTTTTTGTTTTTTTCTTTAATTAATTTATTTTTAGTTTTCAACATGCAATATTTGAAAGATAATAGTCATTACATCAACTTAATTGAAAAACATTTATTAATAAATAATTCAACACACATTTACTGAGTGTGTGCTATGTGTCAAGCAATATGGAAGGCAAAGAAAATACAAGTAATGAAACAATCCCTACTTTTCTGTTTTTAAAATTCTGAACTTAACTTTTAATACCAAACTAAATGAGTATTTCTATATAGAAAGTAGGCAACAATTATACTGGAAACAGTGATTTTGTATTATGTGTAGTTTACTTTTCCTTCTGAGTATATAATAAATTCAACATGTAACTAGGGGTTTGCTAGAGACAATTCATATTGGCTCATGAGAGCTGATTGTCAAATCTTCAGTGAGAACATTTACACCCTAGAAATAAACGAACACTACAAATTGGAGCTTCATTTATTTTGCCGATTTCTAGATTTAAGAAAGTGACAGGAAAAATGTTAATAATACAGATTAAATTTAAAAGCGTGTGGTGTACCCACACATTTTTTTATTTTTGGAGAGTCAATTGTTAAACATTTCCCAGGAACCTTCTGTTTATAGTTTCCCAGGAAACTATCAACAACCTTCAAAGCTGTCCTGCTTATCTATATTTCCTTCTGTTCTTTCTGTGCATTTTCAAAAATGCTTCAATGATCATTTCTATATTTTCTTTTTCTTTTAGCAACATTATTGCTATCCATATTCCTCCTCCCAAAACTGAAAAACAAATAAAAAAAAAAGAACAGCAAAACCCTTGAAAACAAATTCACACAATGGCAATTAGTCCATCCCCACTCTCTCAGGGGGTGGGTTGCATGCTTCATCATAAGTCTTCGGGAATTGTGACTGGTCATTGCATTGATCACATTTCTTAAGTCTTTCAAAGTTCTTTTCTTTACAATGTTGTTGTCATTGCATAAACTGTAATCTCAGTTCTGCTTAATTAATTTGGTAGCACTTCAGACAAACCTGAGATTTTTTTGAAACTATTCCTTTCATCATTTCTTACAGTTCAACAATATTCCATTATATTAATATACCATAATTTCTTTAGCCATTTTCTAATTAATGGTCACCCTTTAGTTTTCAGTTGTTTGCCAAAACAAAAATAGCTATTATAAATATTTTTGTACATGTGAGCCCTTGGATTCCTTCTTTGAACTTCTTGGGGTCTAATTCTAGAAATGGTATCACTTGGGATGGTAGAAACAATATTCTAATCTTATTTGAGTTAGGCTAATTTTTCCTTAAAAGTTACTGAGATATTCCTCAAGAATTCATTGGCTCAGGAGAGTAAGCCTCAGGCTGTTAACATCATTTCCTCACTGCCTAAGTACAAAGTAGCCATGAGAAGCTCAAGGCATTTGGTGATGATTGGATCATAATCTCAGGGGATAATTCAAGCAAGGGAGCTCACCTCAGCTAAAATCAACCTGAGGTATCCTCAGTGTCCACCACTCTGAATATCCTTCTGCTATTGCTAAGTAAAAATATTTTTTCTGCTATTAACTGCTAGATGACCTAGGTAGGAGAACTCATTTGGTTCCAACATCAAACCTAAACTATCAGGTGACTGGCCTGGGTCAGGACCAGGCCAGAACATCTTGGGTCAAATATAAATGGGCACAGCTCCAAATTGCTCTCTAAAATGATTGGAACCCAGAACTAAATAAAAAAATTGATCTCCAAATACAGGACTCAATAAGGCTAAACTGTTTATAATTCTATATGGCAAGATAATATTTGTAACTTAAGAATTTTATTGCTATAAGGGCAATTAGAAGGAGTATACGTAGACAGAGAGTGACTTTGGATATAAGGTGACTTTGATGGGATGATACTCCAAAAAAAAAAAAGATGAGAAAGAAGATTACGCTGGAAGAAGAAGGGGGAGGAGACAGAATAGGGTAAATTATCTCACACAAAAGAGACATCAAAGAGATATTTATAATGAAGGGGAAGATGTGGGGTTGGGGAGGTGGCAGGCAAAGCTTAAACCTTACTCTCATCAGAAATGGCTCAAACAGGGAATAACACACACACTCAGTTGGATACAGAAATCTATGTTAACCTATAAGGAAGTAAAAAGGGATGAGAATAATAGAAGGGAGGGGGTGGATAGAAGAGAGGGAGAACTGGAGGAGGTGGTGACCATGAGTAAAACATTTGTGAGGAGCACCAGCATGGAGGTAAGAGAGAAGAGGGGTTGGGGGTGGGATAAACAAATTCAATAAACTCTGCTCTAGTTCTTCATTTTTTGACTCTTTATTTCAAGTGTGCTTCTTATAATTAACATATTGTTAGACTTTACTTACCCATTTTGCTACCTTCCTCTGTTATATGAGTAAGTTTGCCCCATTCGCATTCTTTGCTATGATTTTCAAATGTGTATTTCCTTCCATTGTTACCTCTAATATATTCCTCTTTTGTTATCATCCCTCTTAATACAAATTTTAAAAGAGTTTAATGAAATTAAAGTAGAGGATATTGAATAAAATGTAACCTTTTTCTTATGGTTCAGTATCATCATTCATTTATTCAAAGACTATTTATTAAATGCCTACTATATGATAAGCATTATGCCAGGAGCTGGGTTTATTAAAAGACAAAAAAAGGGGGAAAAATCTCTGCTCTCAAGCAGCTTACATTTTACTGGGGAGAAACAATACAAACAAAAATAAGCAAATATAGAATTTATATAAAGTAAATACAGAGTAATTTCTGGAGGAAAGGGCATTAGCTAGCAACCAAGGGGAGCAGAGATCAGGATAGGTTTCCTGTAGGAGATGCCACTTGAAAAAAACTACAGATTCTTGGAATCAAGAGGGAGAAAGGGGTATATTTCACGCATGAGATATAAGCTAGTTATAGGGTAGCATATTCACTCACCCTTCTTCCCTAGCAAGGACAGATGTTAACTGGATTGTGTTCACTGGATTACTACCTTTGTTGGAAAGGGAAAGAGAGAGAGAAGGACAAGTCTTCATGTCTCCAGTCCTGTGTCAGTCCTAAAGGTCACAATGCAAGAGGCCTGGAGTCGTAGCCCCTCGTTAGTTCTGTGTGTTCATCTCTCTCTCGCACACACACACACACACACACACACACACACACACACACACACACGTACAGATATTTAACAATACAGAGCAAGAACTTTTTTCTACCTTAACTTTAACAACTTAAACATTTACAACTAAAAACTAATAGGAAAGAGGGTAGGGCTGTTAGAATCAAGACTAGCAACATTAACTTTCTTAAAGAGCACCTTGCTTTGATACCTGTATTTCTAAAAGTGGGTAATCAAACATTCACAAACAGAAACCATTCATTAATGTCTATTTAAAATGATTACTTTGTGAAGTACAGTACTTAATCCTTCTTAATTTATTAAACTATTAAATATATATGGTTTGCTTAAACTAAGTTTACTTCACATCCAAACTGCCAAGTAAAATGATATAAATCACAGGCTATAAGAAAAAAGAAAAATAAATCTCTAGCATTTAATTGGGACATATATATGTATATAACAAATGTGCATATAATTTTGATAAGAAATTTTACTTCCTTGTTGCAAATGCTTAAAATATACAAACACAATTAGCTGTTCATACAAGGAAAAAGAAAAAATACACAAAGTAGCAAAAAAAACCACCTTACACGTAATTCTTCTAAAGTTTGATTAGCAATTTTGAGAGGCAACTTTCAGTTACCCTTGACTGACTACAAATCTTCAAAAATAAAAGTGGTTTTGAAATGAGGCTTCAAAAGTGTACAGCAAAAAAGACTACTTATTAGAGGGTGAAAAAAAGCATTATCTACAGAAGTATATGAATAGTTACTATAGATTAAAGAAGTTAGAGATCTTAGAATTACGAAACACCAACACTTTTACTTCATGCAGAACGCTGTTCTTTAAAATTAAATTATTTAAAAGTTTCAGGCTCTGTTCAGAATTTGAAACCATTTTCCTTCTCATTCCATATAATCATTATGCATTAAATTCTACAGGGGAAAAAAAAGGCAGTTAGACTAAGATTTAAGTGAGTATTAGTCAATCAGAAAACAACTTTTTCCAAGTGGAATTCTTAGTTCAACGAAGCATTACTGAATCCAGTAGCTTTACTAGAAGATGATTTCTATTCTTTCCTCTACACGAGAATAAAATGGTTCCACACATCTTAGAACTCCTTTTATTTAACCCACAGCTGCCAATACTGCAATAATTATTGCTTTTGTGCTTTTTTTCCCCCCAATGATTTCAAAAGAGCACTTACAAAATCTTAGATATACAACTAATATGTTCACTTTGGTGTGGCAATAAGGCATAGCAATATACCCATTAAGTTACATCAAAATGGATTTACTTAAGTAACAATATAGTCAAAGATATCTCACATTTCTTTTTGTTTAAACTTGAAATGAAAGGCACAAAAAGGCAAACACTATGACTCTTTGTTAAATACTAAAACCTACCTTAGGAGAAGATGAGAGATCTGCTCCTACAGAAACACCAGTATTCTCAGTGATCCTTCCTTCTGTTTTTGGGAAGCGTCCTGGTGGCTCAGGGGCTTTTCTTTTCATTTTCTTTTCCGTTTCTGGTTCTGGAGCTGGACTCACCCAATTATCTGGAGTAGGAGTTAGTTTGGGTTCATAAAAAGGATTTGATCTATATGAAAAAAAGAATTATTGATAATTATATTTTAAGATTTTTAACTCCTAAATGACAATAACATATATGATTTATATTTTTATGTCAAGTTTGATTTTGTTGCCCACAACCAGATTGTACACCGAACAGAGAGGTGTGAAATAACTTGTGACATGGGCCAGGCGGAGCAGAATTACTGACTCAGTTCATTCATCTGAAGGTACAGGATATATAGAGAAAATCTAGCCTAACTTCAAAGAGTCCTCCCCGTGAGATACTCCCCAGAACATCTGCTGAGGATGTGACAACATGAATTTCCTTGTTATCAGGGTTCCCAGATTGGGTTGTATTTTCCAAGGTTTTCCCAGGCACCTTGGTGCCACCTGCATAGAGGAGTGAATGTGTAAATCTAAGGTTAAAAGAGTGAGAAGGAATGTCTCAGGGACCTCCTAATCAGGAAGGGATTGGAGAGCCGTACCACTTAATCATTGAGCCCTTTTGGGTAAAAGCCTGGGCAGAGGTCAAACTCTGCCTTGGATCTTAAACCCTTATCAGACTCTTAAGATCGGCCCTCAACATGATTTAAAGTGTATTCCCATATATTATCGCATTTTATTCTAGAAACAGTCTTACAGGGTAGGGAGGACAGAACACCTAACTGTTTCCTAACCCAAAGCAACTTCCACTCAAGAAAATATCAGTTTAACATTCTGCAGTAAAAAGAAATATTATCTTAAATAATAGAGAGGTAACATGAGTAGTGGAAAGAGTGCAGGCCCTGGAGGCAGAAAAACTATTTAAGTTTTTTTTCTGACACATCCTGGTTTAGTGACCCAGGGCAAGTCAATTAGCTTCTTAGTGGCACAGGCAACTCTCTAAGCCTATGTTAAGGTTTAATTCTATACTCTGATATTACAGATCTGGACAAAAAATAAATTTTATGGTGTCATCACATTTAATTGAAAAACTCAAGTTTATCAATACTTTTTTTTTTTACAAATTTGTCAATGAATTTAATGGATTATATGACTTGTAATTATATTTGTTATGACAACATCTTCGCGAAATAATACAAGTCAAGATAATAATGATTAATTTAGATTATATAATACAATCATTAACTGGTCTCACTTAAAATTTTTTCCTTTATAAACAGTAAACACCTTTTAAGAAATGCAATGAAGAAACTTCAGGGTGATGTGAATGACAAGATAGCAGACTAGACATTTTCTCCTATTTCCATGACCCTTCAAACTTCTCCAAAATAGAAATTAGCCACCAAAGATAAAGCAACTTCAGCTGTTTCCATGTCCTAGGATACCCAGAATCCAAAAGAAGGTAAAAACCAAACAATAAACCAACCCCCAAACCAGGAACTGACATTTACTGACCCTGAACTCATTTAGCACCTCTCCTCTACCTCTCCCACTACTGGCAGCAAAGATGCATTAACAGACCTAAGGACACAACAGAAGCTTATATCAAAACCCACTCCCAGTGAAGTGAACTGGATGAGAAGAACATCACACATAGCAATAGCAATATTGTACCATGATCACCTGTGAATGACTTACATATTCTCCGCAACACAATATGATCCAAAACAATTCTGAACAGCTTATTTTTGAAAAATGCTCAATGGAGTCCGAATGCAGCTAGAAGCATATTTTTAAAAAAACTATATTTCTTTTTCTTTTTTTGTTTTTGATCTGTGTTTTCTTTCACCATGTTGGCTAATACAGAAATATGGAAATATGTTTTGCATGAGACTGCATATTTATATAATATATCAAATTATTTGCTTTCTGAAGGAGGGGAGCAAGGAAGGAGGGAAACAATTTGGAATTCAACATTTTAAAAACGAATGTTAAAATTTGTTTTTACATGCAATTGGAAAAAATATATTAAAAAATTTTAAAAAACCCCAAATGTCCCTTCTTACACTCTGGTTGCCCCTCCCTCTTTTTATGGCCATGCAACACAGCTCCAGGCTATGGAATTTTGCTTAGGCCTTGACTTCTAGCAGAACACTATCCTTCTGAAGTAAAAGCCTGCCAGGGACTGGAACCTGAAAGCACCAGCACTGCAAAGTGCTGAACTGCCAGTGCTGGGCCAGAGAATTAAGGAATAGAGGGCCTGGGACTTGTTGGTCACCAGGACAGTCTGTTGTGTGTGAGAGGAATTGTACAGCATTTGTGCAGGAAAAAGCACAGCATCCAGTTGGGTCCAGTTCTGATCACCCAGAAAAAGACCTAGGCTGGTGAACAGTGAATTGCTAAGAACAGGAGGAGTCTGAGAAGCTTTGAGATCCAGCATCCAGTGAAAGCTCAGTCAGAGAGGAGGGAGTCAGGAAGTGAGTGATACTGCAAATAAGGGGGGAGGGGAGAGACTAAAAGCACCAAAGATTTCAGGAAGAAGTCTCAAAGACCTTGAACAAAAAAACAGATGAATCAACAGTAACCACAGAAGGGTACGTAGCTTCCAGACATAATAAGTGAGCTCAAGGAAAATGATGCAACACTTGATGAGAAAGAGAACCCTATGGAATTTGAAAACATGGAACTACAACATACTATTCCTGAGTGGTTTAAAAGAGAAATGTGAATTATAAGAGTACAATTTATGTACTGCACAGCAAAAAAAAACAAAAACAAAAACAAAAAGGCAGAACAGAAAAATTTGAATCTGCAATGACAAACCTCACCAAAGAAACAAAAGAATAAACTAATAGACTAGGAATGCAAATTCACATAAATGAAAGATAACCCAGAAGAAGCAAAAAAACAGGAACATTAAAAGAATATATACTCACTATCAAGCAAAAAATACTAATCTTAAAGAAAGGATGCACACATATAATCTAAGCATCATAGATCTCTCAGAAGAACAGGATAGGACAAAAAACTTTAACATCATAATAAAGAAAATAATAGAAAAGGAGAGGAAAGAACTTTCTAGAACTTTTGAACACAGAAAATAAAACTCCAATGGAAAGAATTCACATATTATCTCCAGAAAACAAACAAACAAAGAAAACTAAAAACCCCCAATGTTATACACTCCAAAACATATAGTGGTTAAATGTAATAGTTCAATTTAGAAAAAAGTTTTACAAACCATCAGGAGAAAGATACAAAGGAAAGAACATTCAAATAACTCAAGATTATTCAGCACCCACTAGAAAAAGGAGGGAATGGAATAATGTGTTCTGAAAAGCAATGGAGCTTAGGATACAACCTGGGATGACCTAGCGTGAAAATCTGAGTTCAACCATACAGCACAAAGATGGAAGTACAAGAATATTGAGGAGATTAGAATATTTTTAGAAACAAAACCAGAACTGAAGAGATATTTGCTCCTCAAACACCCCAAATAACAGAAATACAGGAGAAGTGAACAAATTCAACAGGCAAGGTCAGCAACAAAATAACAATAGAAAGATCATAAGAGATTTCTTTCTAGATAAACAATTTTAAGAAACCTCTGACATGCTTTATTTGACTTCACTTGTATGAAATAACAGAAAAATGCACTGGGATGAGAGAGAGGCCCACGAGTTGTGGACTGAAGCTCCCAGTTGCTCAGCTTCTTGTGCCTGAGCTGTAGGACTCTAGAGAGACAAGCAAGGCTGGGGGCCATTATTCACCACCCCTACAAAGAGCTGGGATTGGGATGAGGTGCTGCCTGGGGTAAGAAGCAGGACTCCCACAGGGTTTGTACATTCCTTTCCATTTCTTACTTTATTATTATAAGCCGCCTTCTCCTCCCCTCCTTCCCCCCAGGTCTGGCTAGCATTAGGATGGGAGGCAGACCTAGATGACTAGGTACAAATCTACTTGAAGTAATAATGAAAAGGAGGACAGAGGTCATTAAGAATAGAACCTGAAAACACCTTGCCTACAGGTGAATGCTTCTTTTGCAGGACAACATGTGAGACAACAGTACAACATGAAAAGGTCCATGAAAGAAGTTGGGGGGGGCAGAGGGGGATAGAAAAGAATGTGTGCTGCTCTAGCATCAAATCAAGGGCTAACAATTATAGGAAGTTGACTGCTGTGCTCTCAAAAAGAGAAAAGCCCATAAGGGAGTGGGTAAGAAGGAGAGTGGAAAAGTTGAAAGTGGGAGAAGGAAAGGAAGGAGGCCTCACTCTGAAAGTAGGAGAGGGTTCCACTGATGAATGCTGCTTTAGGTGAAGGAAGAGAAGGTCTAGGGGATTCAGTGCTTGAAAAGTCTATATTGTCCTGGGGACTACTGGCACCTGGAGGAGTGAAAGAGCATGGACATAAGGGAAAATGTCTCCTGACAAATGTAGAAAAAAGATTGACAAAAGAGGGTATCAATCAGTGGTGGGGGAAGAGGTCTACCAAGGAACACTGTCCTCTTTGACAAATGCAATGACTGGAATTGTTCTGAGAGTGAGGAACAATAGAAAAGGAGAATCCTTGGGGTAAGCCTAATGCACTGGCAGAAAGCATATGGAAAGGAAAACCCAGAATGGATATCTCGTATGAAGAATACAAAGAGAGAAGAGACCAGATGATTACAGGGGTCATGAATTAAAGAACAAGGGCATAGAGTAAATAGAAAGAGTAGATAGACAGTGAAGAGACAAAAGAAATCCTTTTTAGAAAGGGGCAAAAAAAAGTGAAATGGGGAAAATCATAACTTTGAAAAAATGGCAATTTTAGGGACAGATGGAAGAAAATATAAACGTGAATGGATTAAATAACCCAATAAAGTGGAAAAAAAGCAACAGAATGGATAAGGGGAAAAAAACTGCCTCCCCAGGCACACAAAAAACTTGCATAGATTCAATTACAAAGTACTCCTTAAAGAAATAAAGAACAACTTAAATAGCTGGAGGAATATTCAATGCTCAAAGGTAGGCTGTGCCAATATAACAAAAATGACAATACTATCAAAATTAATTTATACTTTTAATGCTATGCCAATCAAATTACAAAGGGCATACTTTATAAAACTTCATAAAAATATAATTCATTTGGAAAAACAAAAAA